TTTTTTATTATAGACTGCACATTTACAGTCTACAAAGATACATATATCACAACAAAATTACAATTATTGTATTATTTGCTACTTTGTATGAAAAAAATTACAAATAACTATTCTTTATGAATGATGGTCAATATGATAGCATTTGGCACATATTTTGCATATCTCCTCCCTTTGAATCAAAGTTGCCAAGTACAATATAAACCAGTTACAGACTAAACAGAACAGCTTTTGCAGAAAAACAATGCATAATAATGGGCACCCCATGCTCAAACAAAAGCTTTGGTAATGCACTACACATATGTGCAGCTGTTTTTTCAGGCCAGTGCAGCCAGGCAGAAGAGTGGAGAGAAGATAAGCACTTACCTGGCCAAGGTCTCAATTAAAATTGGCAACTTGATAAGAACAGAGGGGAAGTTAGATACAAAATGTATACTAAAAGCTACAGGAAATTATTAACTGACTACGGAAATAGATACACAGAAAGTGGAAAAGATGAGGGGTGGAGATTGTTGCCCAAAGGTACCATTGGTTCTTCTTAGCAACACTCCCATTTACCTAACTTTCAGTGTTTATACATATTAATTAATTTATCTAAAGGCAATAATAAAATGCAATAGCACTAATCACTTTTGTAGCTTTATGTTCACTTTAGAGTTTTGTTCTTATCTCTCTAATTTAATATCTGAATATCCAGCAAAGTACAGCTTTTCCTCAGACAACAGTTTTTTTCTTCAAATCCTGATGAATAAACACCAGAGGTCACTTTACAGACCATATTCTTCTCCCCAAATAATGAGCTGCTTCTTTCATGTTTCATGGCATTGCAAATACTGTACCACCTTCTACTATTAATTCAACACTGTAGATGGTTGGAACGGTCTTAATGGGAAGTTCTGAATATTCAGTAGTCTCAGTTCAAGGAGGGAACAATCAATCCATTTCTTTAAACACAGAGTAAGGCAATCTCCGCTGCACATTCCTGCCAAGCCCACTCAACACACACAATGGTTTGCCAGTGCAGTGCCAAACCACAAGACAAGGGGTCAACAAACGTCACATTTGAATTATAAGTAGAAATCCATTTCAAGCACTACTTAAAAGAAACCAGTTGTTAGATAAACATTTAGACTGACATTTGGCAATGCTGGTTGTCAGGCTATCTTTAGCTTGTATATTTCCTGAGCCAATATTCACCAACAAGCAGGCAGCAAATAAAGTAAATGCAAAGTCAGAACTCCTGATCTGTGCACTTGTACTCAGTTGATGGCTCAATGTATTGAAACCTTTAGATAATTGAATGATGCAGTTAGCATTTTTTACCAGCGGCTGGCAGTGTGAGCCTCATTATTTCTCTTAGTACAGGTTTCCTTTAAACCCTAAATCTGCTCACCTCTGCCAGCCCCCAGTTCCTCCCCCCACAATTTTTTTAAACTTAAATTTTTTCAAAGTCTTTAGGTTGGTTGTATAATCTGTGGTGTCTTTATTCTCTTCAGTGTAGTCCTTAATGATGCAGAGAGACCACTGACATGAGGAGGTCTTTGCACCATTACACAATGAGTGCAGAATGCTGTGGTGATGCTTTTTCAGAGGTGGGTCTATGATGTCCTGCACTCACAGACTGTCCTCAGACTTTTTGGAACCCAGATGATTTAGGGGATCTTATGACCAAAAAAGAGTACTACTGGGGGCACCACCAAATTGAAGGTGGGTATTGTAGCCCAAGATGCTTTTATGGGTAGATGTTTTTTTAATTTAGCCTGATATTGGAATTGAAGTCATTATTTAATTATGAAGCTTAATTAAAAATTACTGTTAACTTTTAAAGAAATAAGAAAGGGAAGCAGAGCTGAGAGAGTTGAAGCTAGCTGTTTGAAAGCATGATGACTTTAAGTGATTGGGCACAAATGTAAAGATATACTTTGCTGGGTAATGTATATAATTTTACCCATGTCTAATCAAAAATATAAAGCAATGATCAATTTAAATGAAATATGTTTCTAGTTCCTTCATGTAAAACTTACAGCTATGTTCCTTGCAATGAGAGAACTAGACACCAGCACCAACTATGTATCTGTGCTCATCCTCTTACTAAATCATAGTGATAGAAAGCAGATTTGACATATGACCAGAGCAGCAAGTGTACCCATTGGAACATTTTTTTCCTGGTTTAGGCCTCCTAAAATATAAGTTAGACGAGAAGAATGTCACAAGCTTTCGGGACGCGCAGAGTCCCTTCATCAGGCTTAAAGCCTGATGAAGGGACCCTGCGTGGTCCCGAAAACGCTGGTTTCCATTTGTTCAATAAAATTTACTTTTGGTGATCCTGAAAGGATTTTCGGTGTGTTGATGACATTCTTCCCATCTAACCCATGTGATCAGCAGCGCCATCTGTAGTCATTTCAATCACCCTTCCTTATCATTGGGATTTAAAGAGTGCAACAAGATCTTCTCTATCTCCTAAAATATAACCCTCATAGGAGTGGCCTCACAATTATGCACAGGTACTTGAGAGTTAAATCCTAAAAGGTTTTCTCTTCCCAGAAAAGGTTTGTAGTATTTTTCTACTGTTTTAAGAATTAGTGGTTATATGAAACAGTGGTCACAAGACTCATCCTTCTTCACCCTTCCTTATAACATTGTACCTGAAAATGTTGTTGCTTATAAACTACCCTGAAAGAAAAAAAATTACCATTACCAGATCACATAATTATTTTGAATAAAAAGGCCTGGTATTGCTGGATTGGCTTTCTTTATAATGATAAAGGCAAATGCCTTCTGATAGGACAACTCTAGTCTCCAACTTTTTTTACCACATCTGCATTCCCCCCTTCTTTTTTTCTCCTCTACCTTTTTTTTTGTTTGCTACCCTCCTGCCCTTCTCTTTTTCCTCCCTCTTTCACCCTTCCCATTCTCCCTTTCCTATACTAACTTCTCCCACCAGGGAACTGTCCTCCCCCACCTCTCCACATCATCCCCAATATTTGACCACTGTCATCATTTCACTATTTTACTGCCTCCTGTTAAAAGCAAGACTGTGCTCAATTAGACTAGGTACCCTCTCGCCCCTGTCTACCCTGCATATTCACAAATAACAGAATTTCCATTGTCAGTGGAATCTCTTTGCTAAGAATTAGTTTTTACCACTTCTGTTGCCATTTACTCAATACACAGACATAAAATGTTTTGGTAAAAGTACTTATGTTTGTCTGTTTTATTATTTCTAAGTGTACAACTGCATGATACTGTATTGTTTTATTTCCTAAGTGCCCTACGTCGATTTCCATCGCCTGTGAAATTGGAAAATTGAAAGAAAGAATTTGAAATACAAATCTGCTGCTCCCAAACATATCATAGTCATGTGACCTAGCCAGCCTCGATCGTCTCCTGCAAACAGGAGCCTTGTCTTTGTTTCATTAATAGAGGCAGCAGATTCTATACATCTTAGTCAGACAAACCCTGTTTGGTATCTTTCAGTGAAAAGAGCAGCATGGCATGTGCATTGTGCAACACAACTGGGCAGAAGTAAGCAAATGTAGCTGTTCTATATCATATATACAGTACTTACAAACTATACGAAGGAGCAAAAATTTGAAAATACAGAGAAAAGTAATTAACTATGCTTATGTATTTCACGTATACATAAACAATAATATTCTCTTCAATCAGCATACAGACATTAGCACATACTATAACTGGGCCTGGTGGAATCCTAAAAACAGTGATGCACTGATGTCAAAAGACCTGAGAAGCAGTTGCAGTGGTACAACTGTAAAATGGAGAAGAAAAAAAAAACTAGCTGTCAGGCTGCATTCATCATAAGTGGATGAAGAGCGCAGGCCGCTGGGACCAGAATACTGCAGCTGATAAGCACTCTCTACGGAGGAGAAATATTCTCACCACCACATACAGACCTGAGTATTTTACACTTTCTGACTATAGCAGGTTTTTTATTTATTCTTTCAGGGATGTTTCCATGCGGATACTGTTTTTCCTAAACTTTAGGGCAAGGTCACCACCGAAGACTCTTTTTTTTACTGTAACCATAGTGTAGAATAGTATTTTTTTGTTGCAATACTTTAGAGTGGATTTAACAGAGGACTACAAAGAACTAATGCTTTGTTTTAGTTGTCATCTTGGCACAAGGTGGGTTTCCCACTTGCAGGGACTTTATTATGGCAAGCGGGTTTTGTGATGCAATAGCTCTCACGAATGGCAGATTAATCTGATAGTTATCACTTCACTAAGTAAAAACTGTGTTTAATAAAGCTTACTTAGTCATTACTCATTCCCTATCCCTGCAAACCTAAATATTCAAACATACATTAAAGCCCATCTCTGGACAAAGAAAAAACATATCCCTGCAATGGGGCGACCCCCTCACTGCAAGGGTAAAATGCTTGTTTTTTTCTAGTAGACTCAAATAAAGCTGTTTTATATACCTGATCCTGGATCATGTGGCAGTCACCACTCACTTCTTCTCCACCTCTGCCCCAGATGTTGAAATTACCTTCGGTAATCAGGTGGAACCAGGGCATAGTGGTGACACACTTTGCTGGAGCATGCGTTCTCGCACGTTTGCGGGACTTTGTTTCCTGTGTGTGGCGTGCCCCTTATTGATCCCCATTGGGTCCCTGGATGCATGCAAAATGCGGAAACGTAGTACATGTCACAAATTTAACGACATGCATTCTGCGGTGTTTCCCATGCATTCGTGCTTGTTCTCATGTGCATGAAAGAGTGGGGAAAAAAACGCGTTTGCTCGGTTGCATTTGGGATGCCATCACCTATTAATAGCAACGCAAGCGCATTCC